GTTAACAGTATGCGTTTAAGCCCATTTCCAGCTTTGTGCTCTCTGTTTCTTGCGGGTGCTCAAAGATGTGAACTTTGGGCTTTCTGTTACCACCATGCCTCCCTGCCATGATGGACTCCTCTCTCTGATCTGTAACCCCAAAAATTCTTCTTTGTAAAATAAATTGCCTTGGTTGTGGTGTTTTAAGTAATACACCAGAATTCATGGGTTCAGGAATCAAGAGGTGGAAATGAGAATGGTACCACTCACCATTACCTCTTGAGACCAAGTAGCAAAAGTTTTGCTCCCTGTTCCCATGATCTTTTATGCTCTGCTGGCCTAGAAGTCTTGGTTCCAGAGCAGGGAGTGTTTCTGCCAGGAGACACAACAAACATTCCATTCAACTGGAAGCTAAGACTTCCCTCTGGCTACTCTGGGCTCCTGATGCCAGAGCCAAGAGGCTAAGAAAGGGGTTAGAATGCTAGCAGGGGCGATTGTGGGGAAATTAGACTGCTTTTCCACAGTGGAGGTAGCAGAGTATGTCAGGAGTGCAGGACATCCTTAGGCTGTCTCTTGGTGTTGCCGTGTGCTGACTTGCATCCCCATGAGGCTGATGGAAGGCAGCACTGGAAGCCTGTGTGTTTGTTTCCCAGAGGCTTTCTCACGAGTTCCAGGCCTCATGTGGCCTGGTGATGCTGTCTGACTTTGGGTCCCACAAAGATACTCAGCACCCTTTCAGTCAACTCACCATTTGTGTGTGATAAATCTCATTTGAGTGGGATTTTTCCTTACTACCAACCACATGTGTGCAGATGGTTCCCTACATCTCTGGCTGTCCCCACAGTAATGAGCATCTTGCAACATCTGACTTGGGATGTTTTTCTGTGATGATTCAGGCAGTTCAGTGATCTAAATAAAGGAATGGACTGCAAACAAGGAGGCCCTGTGGTGATGGCATTAAAAGAGATGAAGACTTTGATTTGGGGTCTGAGGCTAGCGTTCAGGTTTACATGGTGGTGAGAACACTTAGCTGCTTGTGAGTTACTCAGGATGCACTCTTTGTGGAACTGATTCAGGAGAGACTCATGGTCAGCCAGTAGGCCAGCGTCTTGATGCCTGGAAAGATGTCTGTGCTGCTCAGAATAGTAGATGACACCCCTGTCATGGAGGGTACTCACTGTGTCTAACACTGTCTATCCCTTGGTCCCTCTTCAACATCATTTTGTGCCCTGTCCTTTCTGCTCTGGGTATTGTTGATGCCTGGGCTGCTGCTGATTTTTCTGTTGGCTATGCAATAGTTGCCTAGAATTAAATGAAAAGTGATGTTAAACACTAGAAAAAAAGAGTTACATGAGTTGAAAGTGGCTGCTTCTAGGAGTAGGATGGAGGGGTCAATGGGGGTAGGGCAGCAGGGATCTGCTTTTACCATAAACTTATCAACTCCTGGCCCTTTAATATATATGTTATATATATATATATATATACATATATATAAAACTTAGATATAATCAAACAACCATTCATTGTAACATCTAGGCTCCTCTTCTGAAAGTGTGTTATATGTAGCCCCATGTCAGCGTAGCATCTCTCTCCTGTGTTAATGACACAAATTTTCTCGTGATCTCATTCCATTTGCTCTGCATGCTTTTAATAGCATTGACCTATGCTTCAATTTATTTAATCAGAAGCATTCATTTTTTTACTTGTTTATTGAATTCTATGTGTAAGGCATTTCTACATAAAAATGGTTTGTGTAGCGCTATACTTTGTCCCGTGTTGGATAATTATTATGTAATTGATACAGTCATTTGGAGCTGGCAATTTTGAGAATGTACATATTCTAAGGAAACATTTAAAGTGTGCTAAGGCCAAATAGATGTCTATGTCAGTCTTCTAAATGCCTGCTTCTCTGTGCTCGGCTTTGTTCAGGCAATGGTAGGTTGAAAGCAGACAGCATATCTGTTTGAACATTTTGTTCATTCATTTAAAAATGTATTGATCACCTGGTAACATATCACACAAGGTAACTACAGTGAGCAGGATATACTGTGTACCCCCCAAAAGTTCTTAGATGGGATTTTGAGTCTTAGTAGCCTTAATTTTTTTATTAAAAGGGTTTGTTATGTCCCCAGATGTTCATGACAGTATGCTCTGAGATGTCAAACATGAGACACAGATTTGCTCAGCAAGTACCACTGTTCCTCTGAATCTGTGGGGAGCTGGTTCCAGGACCCGCTTAGGTGCTCAAATCCTCATGCCTATGTCCCGTCTATAAAACTGTGTAGTGTTTGCATATGACCTATTTACATCCTCTGGAACATTTCAAATCATCTCTAGATTACTTATGATATCTAATGTAGATGCTATATTGTTTACAGAGTAATGACAAGAAAAAGTCTGCACATGCTCAGTGCCAGTACAACACTCCTCCAGATATTTCCAACGTGTGGTTGGCTGAAGTCTTTGATACAGAACCCACAGATAGGAAGGGGTGGAAGTGTATGATTTCCACACTGCTTTGTCAGCTAATACTTGTAGCCTAGAGTCTCCTTTGCTTTTCTGGTAACCTATACCTTAAGCCTTCCCAGCCTCCTGCAGCTGTTTGGCCAGGGAAGAAACCTGGAACCCTAGGAAGGACCCAGAGGATGCACATGGGTTCTGAGCACCCTTCATGGACGCTGTTCTGCTTGCCCATCCTCTATGGCAAAAACATGGCCACTAAGTCAACTGTACAGAAAGCAATCTCCAGGAGCACCGAGGCCCAAGGATGACCACTGTGTTAGAGGAGAGCTGATATCAATGTGGTTATGGCCTGGGGAGATGTGCTATGTGTTAGAACAAGGAAGTCTCAAGTTGCTGGCTGTTAATATGGCACCAAGATTTCCTTGCAATGGATTTGAGTGGGTGTATATGGGTAATAGGAGACAGAAGCAGCAAGAAACAATAACTAAAAAAGAGATGGAATGACACAGTGAAGATCTGAGGCAAGAATGGGGTTGAAAGCAGCCCGGAAGAGCCTCAAAAATAGCAAGAAGTCAATAAGTAGATCTACAGACTACTCACAATGGAGCCTATAGTAATAAGCCCTAAAAATAATGACCATTTGGTGGGCTCAAGGGTAGGGGGACCACAATCTCCTGGGGCCATGTGGACTTGGACCATTTTCTTTACCTTTATGAACATGACTCAGATAAACTGAGGATGACACAGTTGCCCTGATTGGACCAAACCCTATCCAATGTGTACTGGACTGCCTCCTATGCAGTCACATATATGGTAAAGTCTATGCTACAAACTAGGCACTGTAAGAGATTAACAGTAATAATAGAACAATCACAATATACTATGATACTTTGTGAATGTGGTCTCTCAAAATAATCTTCTGGTACTGTCTTCTTTCATGATATATGAGATTAGAAATTGCTTACATAAGACGGACGGGAATGGCATAGGCATTGTGATATAGTATTAGGCTACTATTGACCTCGTGATAATTATTCCAAAGACCATCACAAAGTCATGGCAATGCCAATTGACTTGCACTAACTGAAATCACAGTGGCAAAAGTGCAGATGAGGGTCCCACCATAAACAGAGCTGTGGTGAGAAAGCACATGGCCTGTTGCCTGGCACATGAAAAGAGGGCAGCAAGCCCAGTCCCATCACCTGTCCCGTGGCATCTCAGGAAACAGCAGAGATCTTAGGTCCCCTGTGCTGAAGACTAGACAATCATAGAGATTCTATGACTCAGAGCTGTCTGGGCTGGGGCAGCATGGGTGCGAAGTGTGTATGTGTGTGTTTAACTGCTGGACCTTCTAGTCCTCCATCCAATAGGTTAGCTATGAAACCTGGCCACAAGGCTTATTCTATTAACTGACACAAATAGAGACCACATCCTTTATTGTGGGTGACATTTAATAAGGAAGGTATTATTGCTTTAGAAGGACTCAAATTAAAATGAGGAGATTCTGATACATAAAGGCAGTCATCCTGGATACCCGAGGGTTCCGGATGCTTAAGCATTTTAGTTTCCATCTATGGATGCAAAACTGGACATGTGTTATTTCAGGAAATCTCACGATCACTCCAAGGACAGGAATGGTTCTGAACTCCAGAGTAGATTAGTAGTCACATCCTTCACTCGCTAAGGCTGAATGGACTAGAAATAGATGAAGATATTGCCTAAGCTTGGCTCATCAACTTCTCTATGAGTGTTCTAATTAGAATATTTGGAAATTTTAAGTATTAAATTATCTAAGTTCACCTAGCAACAGGCAAAACTCAGATCTGTGCTCAAACAGCCTCAAAGGCTACTGCTCTTTTGTACACATGGCTTTTGCTGATGAACATAAAAAGGGCTAGAGACCTGTCTAGAGGAAGGCTGGCTGGCTTAGCCTAAGTCTGGATCCTGGACGTGGTTTGCTTGGCACAAGATCAGAAACACAGGTGAGCAGCTACCAGTCTGAGCAGTATTTCAAGTTGTAGTTAACAGGGCTGAGTACTAGGAGAGGCTTCTACATGTGTCTGGGAATAGCCTTGGTGATGAACAGAAGATATGGGAAGACATGCCTTTACTTTTAAATAGTTGAATCCAAACTTTCTATTGAGTTTGGATGTGAACTGTCCCTCAATGGCTCCTGTGTTTAAACACTCGGTACTCAGCTGGTGGTGCTGTTTTGGGAAGCTATGGAATCTTTAGGAAATTGCGTCTAGCCCAAGGAAGTGACCCTGAGAGGCAGACCTTAAGAGACCAGCCCTATTTGCAGATGAAGACTGTGACTTCTGGTCCACCAAGATGTGATTAGCTGTACTGCAAACTCTCACTGTCATAGACATGGAAGCCCAGCCTCCATGCCTTCCCCACAACGATGTATTATAATCCCATTAACCATGAGCCAAAAGAAATCCTTTTTCCTTCAAATTGTTTCTTTGAAGTATTCTGCCACAGTTTAGAAAAAGTAATACACTCTATAACCCTTGATATAAATAAATTATACTTTATGTAGATAAACAGTCCCCAAATAGAAGCAGATACACAAAAACCTTTATTAAGAGGAAGTTAGACTTATTTCATGGTAATTAACCAGTTACAAGTGCATTTAAATTCATGTATGTGGACACCATAGAAGTCAGAATGGTCTTACTGAAAGTCCCATGTTCTGGCTCAGTTTGTGCCAGTGCAAGCCAAGGGTAGAACCATACACAGAGTCAGTACAGGTTGACGATGACGTCAGACTAGATTGGCAACATCATATTCATTGTTACAGCTAAGCATTACAGAACATGAAAGTCCAAAGACCAGAACACTATTACTAAAGGATTCTTCCTCTACGCCTTCCCTTCTACTGCATGCTTAGAGGACCGCAGAGCAACTCCCGTCTGCAGGAACAGATCTCCTTGCTGCTTCACACTCAAATGGGCCATCAACAATTGCTGGTCCTCTTGATGTCCATTGTAAGTGGACGGCAGCTGCCCCTTTGGGGAAGTGCAGTTTAACTGGTGTGAACATTTTCTCTTGTAAATCTTCAAACCGAAAATTTTCTTCTGTTCCAATTAGCACCAGTTTATTTTAAAATATTTTTTCCTGGTGTTAAATCTTTAGGAAATATCTTGTAAAACTAACACACAAAGTCCAAAACAATGAAAAGAAAAAAAAATTCAAAAAATGTGTTAGAGAACAGCATTTAGAAAAACAACATCATTGAAACATTCGATGAATCTATGTACAGTGTGCCAAAAGCTGGCAAGGAGCATGGCTGAGGAACAGTCGCAGAAAAGGTTAGTCAACCTGAACCCCTGCAGGCAGTATTTACAGTCAGAAAAGTATTCAGAAACGTAGTATCAGAACATCTGGATTTGGCTAAAAATCATATAAAAAGACACATTGCCCCTCCCCCACTAACTTCTAATTAGGTAGCAAACACATCCAGTATGACCTCAAGTACCAGGTTTAGAAGTGGGTTTTCCCGTATTTTACAAAACTTTCTAGAAACTTTCTCAACAGACAGAAGAGAACCGGAAGAGCAGAGAAATGAAGTTCTTCATGCCCACTTTGTTGGATGAAGGGGAGGATGTTAATGCTGAACAATGTAATTAAGCACTGACCAAGGAGCAATTATTAAAGGAAAAGGTTTCATGATAATACAGATCAGCAAGAAGGCTGAAGAAATTTGTGTATATTGTATAGAGATTTTGAAAATTTTAAATAACCACCTCCATGTAATTTTGCAAAAAAAAAAATCATTTGCCTTGTTGGACAATATTTTTATATTTTGTTCTTTGAAACTAAATAACCTAAACTCGTTAAAGAAACTCCCAGCCCATTTAGAATTAAGCATAAAAGATAAATCTGGGTCATTTTTAGCCATGCAACTCATAACTTTCTAAAGTTTTGTTTGCCATTGTTTTATTATTTTGCAATGCTAAGGTTTGAACTTAGGCCCTCATATACACTAGGTAAGCTCTCTACAACTGAGCCACATCCCAGCCCTTGCTTGCTTTTATTCAGTGTTACTACAACATCCCCCTCTAAGGAACTGGGCACTTTTTGAGAGCCCTGCTTAAGTAGTAAATCCAAACTGCTTTGTCCTCCTTCATTGTACTGGCTATTTTTTATTCTTTTGAGTCTGGAGTTTCAGAGGAAAGTCTAATGTACTGTCTTTAAAACATCAGATGGAAGAACAGGAAGCATCCTGCATTCTTCTTTACTTTGAATAATCTATAGTTGATCATCTCTATGAAAAAAAAAGTACTTGGATTTGATACAAAATACATGTTTCTCTTTGAAAATGCATAGTTTATAATTTTATACATTCATTCACTATTATTAAAGACTTTGTAAGGAAGTGCTTACCCCTGAAATGATGGCAAGATTGTACCTTAAAAGATCTCTACACACTGGACAGCGTTGCTAACTAGACTTTTGAATTAGTGCCTGCACTGGCCCGCCTGCCACTCTAATGCCAGTGCCCCAAGGAGGACTGATTCCTGGGCCCCAGTCTGCCTTTTTTATTGTTGTTAGGAGACACTATGAGCAATGCTTTTTATGGACAGCATTTCCACTAACTGTCCCACTTTAAATACTCAGTACCTTCATTTTAATATTTTAGATTTGGTGCAGAAAACAATTCAAAAGATGGCTTAAATTTTCAAAGCAGAGTATGCTTAACCCTTACCACTGACTAGGGGCAGCAGAGGTTTGCCAATTACCATCCTCTTGCCCCAGTTCCCTCATTTGTAAGCAATGCCCATTAGGCCACTGGCAGCTGCTTTTGATGATAGTCTTGAACCCTTTGGGACCTAGCGATATTTTTTTATCCTGAGTTCTTCTAAGTATATATTTTGATATATGAAATACTTTGGAAACTACACTAGGGGATACAAGGTTACTAGTTAGTTCAGAGAGTATTTGTTTAAGTGGTTGACCACCATCTATTACAAAAATAGGAATTTTAGGGTGCACTGTAGGAAAATATGGAATAATGGTACATATATAAATATGACCCACATTCCTGAGTTACTTGACACCCAGGGTATTTTGAGTTGTTGAAGTCAGGGAACTAGTATACTTTAGGGGTACTGAGTGCTTTCTTAAACATCTAGGTTTACTCTAAAGCTTTCTACCAGTTTCCTCACAGTTGGGACTCTGTGAAGGAGAGGCTGTGCTGCCACCACTGAGGTTGGTCATGTCACGTCCAGTAAGCGGAATACTGGGAAAGGGGCTAAAAAATATTCTTAGGGATTATTTGTAATCTGAAAGTTCTGCATCCTTCCCTTAAGGGGGTTAGACCCCTGAGGGGTGATTCAAACCCAACTAGCAACCACAAGCCCTCAGTGCTTTGCTTCCATACTCTGTCTTGTTACCTGTGCTCAAAATATGGAAAGGGGCTATCCTGGAGTGAGGAACAAGGCGAGCAGGTTGAAGTAATTTCCTCTCCTTTCTCCAGAAATTCAAAATGGAAACAATTATACTCTGTAGGAGCTACTTCCTTTTATGCAGTGGAGGCCAATCTCATTCTCACACTCTATAATCCTCAGGCAGAAGCCAGAGCATGGAGAGATTTAGTATGAAGTCCTCTTGTGCTGCTCTCAGTGCCCCATCGCAACACAGATCCAGGCACATGCTGTCCTGCTTGCTCTGAGGGCTAGCAGAGGTGACTGGACTGATCCTTTGGACTGAGTGTGGCAGGCTGCTGCTGGAGACTATACCTGTGCAAATGGAGGGAATGCTTCCCTTCAAGAAGCAGGCAACCATACTCACTGCAAGGATAAGCATCCAGACCCTGGCACAGTGATTTAGGAGACAGCATTCAGCCAGTGGCCCAGGAACAAGAATGGATCATCCCCAGCTTTGGAAATGAACCAGTACAAACTGTCTGGCCTCTGGCTTCGGGAGGTGAGGGCCAAGAACGAATGGCCACCAGTAAATCTGAAGGCCATTGTCAAGATGGCAGAAAACAGCGGGGCCTGCTCTCTCAGGCTCTCCTTTAAAGTCCTTTCCTCTCCAAAAGTCAGGGATATAGAGAATGCAGAAGTAAACAAGGAGCCATGTTTGTTTTTTCTAAAACTTCTTTAATGATAGCTCTGCCTTTTTCAGGCCTTGCCATTTTTACTTTGAGTTAATTTCCTGAATTAAAATTTTGGGAACTGGTCCTAGTAAGAAAGTATAATAGTTAACTGGCCTTAAGGATTAATTTTTACCATTTTTGTAATTATAAATAAGGGGATGTTCTCTGAAATTTCAAACTTCTATGGACAATGCCCATCAGGAAAGAACTTTTTTTTTTTTCTTTCAAAAACAATTACAATTTAATCATAATCTGAACATTTCTTTAAAATCTATAGCTATTTGGTTTTGGAAACAGAACTTTCTTGTTCCCTAACACTTGATGGTCGGACACTGGTGCAAACCACTATATAAATGGTTCCTTTCATAGAGTAGAAGAGGGCTAAACCAATTTCTGCCTCAGTACTGAATTACCCCAGAAACAGGATAAAAATATTGTTCACTTAGAAAATTGCTAGTTAACTAGGCAACAGGCCTGTATAGTTTTTCTGAAGTTCCTTCTAATCCTCTGACAAGGTTCCCAGTGAGTGTTTTAAACTCAGGATGTTAGCTTGCTGCTCCAAGAGACTGGGAGACAGCTCAGATGACGTTCATTCATACACTGGACAGCCTCTTAATCATTTATAAGGAAGGAAATCTCAGGCTTTGCCAATGTTGTTTAAACTGCATTAAATTTAAACGTGACTTAACAATACTTTCTGTACCTATAACTTCGTGTTTACTGTCCTTTCTGATTTGATACTACAAACTGTAACTTAGCTGGTTTTTATATTTTCTGGCATCCATTTAAGTTTATGTAACTAGAAAATGTTGGATTCCAGAAGGAGTCAAAACTTTGACAAGAACGCTGATCCAGTGAACAAATTCCTATACCTACTACTGAACTGGCTGGAACTTGGGAACCAAGCATGGAAGTTATAGTAGGGGACACATATTGGGATGATGAGGTTTGCACTTGGCAACATGAAGGAGTGTGCTCTTTCCTTGCAGATTCAAAGAATGAACTGAAAACAGGCAGGGCCTTGGGTCTCCCTTCACAGGTCTTGAGTCACTGTGGAAGATGGCTGAGCTGTTTACTAAAATGATGCTGACTCTGAGGTTTAATACTTCTCTGGGTTAGCCCTGGAAGTGGGTGGTGGTGGTCCTTGCAGAAATGTTACACAAGGTTCTTACAGCAATCAAATGAAATAATGTCTTAAAGAGACATACTTTATCATATAGAATTATCCCAATAACACCAGGACTTCAGTATACAATGCAGTTTAAAACACTGTAGTCCCTCAGGACAATAGGAACTATCTGCAACCTACTTATGCTTTTTTTCCCCATGATATGCTTACTTTCATTTTGATTTTGCCCTCAAAAGATGCTATGGTTTTCTATGTGAAAAAACTTCCTTTGAGCCAAATGGACACCCCAAAACACCTAAGTGCCTATCAATTCTGAAGCAAGGACCTTGCCAGATCAGAGGTGAAATAATGGCAACTTTGTACTGGTACAAGAAAGGGGTACATGGCTCCCAGAGCATAGAGGGAGGGCAGAGGGCTTTGGCACAGGAGGCGACATGTGTCACCTTAAAACCTCAGGGGCACCTGGCTGCCTTCTACAAAGGCACGAGATTGCTTTTTGCTAGCCTCTTTTCACAGTGGTCACGGCAGTGGAAACAATAAGAGTCAGGGTTACAGCTACTCAGTGCTTTGGGGCACAGTCTGGGTATGCCAGGAGGCAGCTCTTGCCAGAGCTGGGGAATGACTCAGTGTGCTCTAATCAGGGGCAAGGCTAATCTAAAGATATGACATATCTATTTTAAGTCTTCCATGAGAATAACCTCTAGGGGAGAAATAACTTCTTTCCTTTTTAAATGTCTACTGCTCAGACTGTGCCAACGTGTGTGTCTGCGGGGCTCATGGGGGAACTAGGCCTGACAGCCAAGGAGTGTGAAACTGACTTCCACAGCTGAACTAGTGGCCACAGGATGCCTCTGCCCCCACATGGTTTCTCTTTGGTCTGCAGTGTTGGCCAAGTATCTGCATTGGTTGTTAACACTTAACTGTCAGGTGATACCACATTTCTAAGTTAGATCTAGCAGCCTAGCCTGATTTCTGTGGGGTCTGATTGTCTAGAGCTGAGTGTGGGTCTTCTGTGTCAGTGAATGTCAGCTGCCCACTTCAACATCGTTTCCACTGTTCTCTAGTCTCTCTTTGTCCTGATCTATGCTATCATTAACAGTACTTGCCTGGACTGTCTAAGGCATCTAAATCTGCAGCTTCTGCTACACACCAGAAGGACTCTTCTATTTAAAGGTGAAATAAGATGCACCTGTGTGGTTCAAACCCACACAGCAGTGAACACTTCCTGGGAATGCAGACAGTGGTGCTGTTGAAGGCATGACCATGTAGTTGTATGCAACCTCGTCTCAGAGACTGGGTGCCACAGCTGCACATGGGTTCCCTCGTGCCTTGTAAACAGTCCTCACGTAAACAGATTTTAAAGCTTACGTGGAACCAACATCTCGAATGGCCTTCTGACCATTTGTTAGGAGTTGCCCAATGGGCGTATGGCTACTCTCTCAGTTTCTCTTTTGATATTGCCTGTGCACTTGGCTAATTAGGCCAGCTGTTTGACTCCCTAAAGTCTCATGAAAAATGATGCTTTCTTGCAATATGAATGGTCTTAAGAGCATTGCACAGCATTCTAAAACAGTCTTGGCAAAGCTTACAACTATCTGTGCAGTTAATAGTCTCTGTGGCTTCATCTCGTTTCCTATATCCCATAGGAATACGGTCACTTTCTGCTCACTTTCTGTGAGTTTTTCACAGTGAAAAACAAAAACCAAAATAAGGAATTGTTCTGATGAAATTAAAGTTATTTAGTTGGGGGTGAGAACAAAATAATTTTAAACACCACTGACTTCTTAAGAATTCTCTTTAGATGTATATACTAGGATCTTAGACATTTCCACTAGATGTTTGCTAGTTAAATGCAGGTATGTGGTTCTGATAGATAGAGAAGAAAACTTGTAACACAGAATTCATTCTACACTAATGAATGTTTCTCCCATGGCCTAGTATAGAAGCATATCTGCTAGCATCTTTTTTAGGTTTAAAACACAGAAGTTGAATCTTCAAGTGACTTTCCCATGATGCTTTGAAAACACACTTGTTATGGTAAAGTAGTGGCTGCTACACTGATTCTCTTACAAATAACTTTTCTATCTGTTCTGCATTTCCATCTTTGCTCAGAGGGTTAATTGAAAAGCTACACATCACAAAACTTGCTTAAAAGAGGCATAGCCCTTGGATTGGTGAGCAGGAATTGTGTACAATATTAACACTTCCTGTCTTTTAAAATACTGTATTTTAAAAAATAAGCTACAATGTATAAAACAAGGTCATTTCCCACAAAGTGTTCATGTTCTTTGTGATTACAAAACACTGCATCTTGTAAAATATTTCCAGTTCTGTTAACTTGAGAAGTTGAGTAGTAATGCTTATTATAAAAATGTCATGTCTCTTAGAATTATAGAAGTGTAAGAAGGATATTTCTCCTTTCATTTGGAAATTTAAGTTGTAATTATTGTATTCAAGATTATATTTTACTACAACACATTACCATTGTGATTCTCAGACCCACACAACAAAAATTATAAAACATGAGATTGTCTTCAGAAAAAAGGAACTATTTACAAAACAGGACAGGAGGATAAAATTCCCATCTTGATTCCTGGTCCTGTGATAGATACACTTTTTAAAGCATGTATATCATTGGAAATGGGCTTTTTCAAAGTCAATCATAGGAAACAAGTCGATCTTAAGTACATTTTATACTTTCTTGCCCTGGTGGTGTGTATTACTTAGTGACACAATTCACAACTAAAATTGCTAACCTCCTTTTATTCACTAACTTCCCATTTGGCTAGTTATAATGCAGAAAAGACAGGATGAAATGGTTGCAACCCAGGCAGGTAGACCAGGATGAGCCTGTGTGCTGCTGGTAGGTTCCTTTCTCAAAGAAATGAAATTTCCAGTTGACTTGTGTGCTCAGCACAACCTCCAAAAAGATCCACACCCCCATTCATATCGATGGATCCTGCTGGTTCCACTTATCTGTATGCACACATCCCTCCCTGTGTTCACACAGGTCAATGCTACAGTTGATGTGGTTGGTGGAAATCCTATAGGATGTGAGAAAAAGCAGCACCTTGTCCATAAGAGTCCATGGCAGTTTGCTCCTTAACATGCTACTAAAGCAAAATGCACATCTTTGCAGCTTTCTTTCACCTAGAGAATGCTGCGTATAGCTAATAAACAGTCACCCAAATTGGGAGATTATAAAAAAGAATAGCAAGGCTTCATATTCACAACTACATTCAGAAAAGCCTCACCAAGTCTATGACTACTCAGCAGGCTCTGTGCCTGTGGTTCAAACACTAGTCAGCCTTAGACTTCAGGCTAGCTACAAAGACACAGTTTTCCATGGGGCATATTCCTCCTACCTCATGGAAGTTGAGACTGTCCAGTTGACATAAATTTGTCTCAAAATGATACCAAGTTTACGTGAAAAAACCTGTTCTAACAAGACAAGACTTGAGACAATAAAATTCTTGCTAGTCTTAGGGTTCTGCAGACCTACGTTCACCCTTAATGTTTCCCTGAGGAGATGAGTGTGATTTACAGTATTTTGCTACTATGCTCAAGGTACTCTCTCTTGCATGTACAGTTCTAGCCACTTTGCTCAGAACCTTCTCAAGTGAACACCACACTTCCTCTGCAGTGCAGCCAGTGGAAAGGGAGCTTGCAGGGCCAGCTCACTCAGAACCCAGGGCTTCTGATCAAAGTGTGGCGCGCTGTGACACCAGAGATGGTGGACTTCAACTCAAGTGATCTTCAAGTGCAATGGGGAAGATTTCAGTTTCAGATTTTTTTTGTTTTTGTAACATACACTTAAAAGTTTCTCTACTGAAAAAGTTCACTTATAGCATGGTCACGAAAGGTAAGGGATCATCTTATAAGGAAACTCTTGAACACAGTGCTACCAACATGTAGTTTTCAGATGAGCAAGCCCACTCCTGTTTGGAAACCCCTGGCTCTTTTCCTGATTTGGCTTTTGCCAACCCAGGGAGAAACTTCCCAGTAAGGAGGTGTTACAAAGCATGAAACTGTTGGGCAGCCCCTGGCTAGAGCAGCTCTCATCTTGTTTGTGGCAGCTGTAGCTAGCATGAGGCTCCCTGGGATGTGCTCAGAGACAGTCACTGCTGGCCCCAAGAAGATGAGCAAGAACCAGGTGTCCCCAGTCCTGCTGTATTGTCTCTCTCATCCACTTGCCACCTGGGTGTTTTCTCCAAGTCCTCTCACTGCCTTCCATGAACTGAGTGTCTGTACTCTGGGAAGGAGGCCAAGGCTGGAAACTATTGCGTGACGCACATGTTGCTTTGCAGTCAGCGGGAAAGTGTCCTGGCAGTCACCGTGAGACACCTTCTCTGGGAGAAATGAAAAGGCTTTGTTGGAGGAAGGGGCATCAAGGAAGAAAAGGAACGTGACATTTCTACTGGATGAGAATTCATTGCATTATCACTCCATTTGCAGACAGGTCTATATCAGCATCCTCGATGTACGCCAGCTTGCCCAGGACTATTATTCTCACCTTTCCCCTGTTTCTCCACCACATATAGACACAAAAAGAACTTGGTTCCACAGAGATGGCATCAAACAAAAGTCTGGCTTCATTTGGCACTTCATTTAGTTCCCCAAATAACAAAATAACTACTTAAAAAATGTAATTCATACAATCAGCAGCTGTATGTTGCAATTCAGAGCTTGCTGGTCTCCCGTGATTATACCCCTCTGAACATGAAATGGGCATGTGCGTGGCCAGGACTGTGCTCAGGGTCTGTCTGTACCTGGAAGTCAGAAGAGAAAGGACACACGGCCTAGGGCTGGTGGGCAGGATGGAACTCCCAGCAGCACAGGAAGGGCAGAAGAATTGATATGAAGAGGCTTTAGGGAGAAGGAGGGACACAGGAAAGCACATTTGGTGTCACGGTTTTGCTGACAATGCATCTTGCCTGAAAAGCAGATAATTAGCCTGGGCTCCGAATTACTCTTCAGCTGTATCTTTGGAGATGACAGTCACAGGGCCTTGCTTAAGGAGTGCTCCCCTGCAAAGATCACTCCCTTATTCCAAAGTTCTTCAACAGAAGATGGACTCAACTCAACATTACTTTAATCTTCTGATTAAAGACTTTACCCGAGGATCAAAATCCTAGAAGCTCTGCTGAGGAAAAAAAAAATGCTTCTGGCCTAGGACTCATCGTAGTGTTTAAGCATATGGTGAACTTGATCAAACAGCTAACCAATGCCATGGCCATTCCCTTGTTGCTTAGTGCCTCCTGGACCAGCTAGAGCATCATTTCACAGCAGTGCAGGGACAGGAGGACAAAGAAGGAGATGCCCAGGGAAAAGGAACCTAGCACATTTCTGCATTGAAATCACCATTTCCTGGCTGAGGGTCAAACTAGTATAGCTGGTGTGGTCAATGTTGATTATCAATCTTCATATGAAATTAGATGAAGCTCTCTTTTTTTTTGAAATAAGCATTTTTCTTTTAAATATCTGACGGAAAGACCAGGATCTCTTCTAAGGAATAAGTTTTTAAAAAGTCACATGAGAATTTAAAAAATAAAATTGCCAAAATATATGAATGTACAAATTAAGGATGTTGCACTGCAGAACCCCTTACATACCCCTTATATTAAAAAAGGATATCTCTGATTATTAGATGTCTTCTTTCTACTCTGTAAAAAGGCAATATGTACAATCTCTAAACATACATTAAGTTTTCCTCTGTGCAATTTCATTTAACATTCGTATGGCTGATACCACATCCTCCATCCCTACCCAGCGCCTCCTATAAGGTGCTCTTACTTTGCATAGGTACAGGAGAAACAGCTCTCTAGCAGGGCAGATAGAAAATGAGCTTACTGACAGGGTTTGGTGGCTGTTCCTCACTTCCCACCCCTGAAACAGCAAATATACAAGTATATCAGGTTAGAAATCCCAGTGGCTAGAGCCCAGTACAAGAGAGTCCTATACCAAGATGCGCTTTCCTTTGGGTGTCCTGTTATGTTTCTTTCTGAGCAAATTCTTAATAGCTCCAATATTTTTATAAGAAAAAAATAAAGGTTTAGATCTTCCATTTATCCATATAATGCTGCTACTGTTCACTAACTCATCCCCAGACATGCTAAAGCACAAAATCTGTAAAAGTGCACTCAGAATGGAAGTTGGTTTGGGACTTCATGTCAGCTGTGCTCCGTTTGAAGCAAACCTGCTGGGCAGTCTGGTGTTCTCTACCTGGGTAGAGGGCGGAGAGCAGGACGATGACCCAAGAACTCGGCTACAATCTTGACAAGACAGAGCTGGACACACAGTCCGACTTCAATTCATGTGACATCCCTGAAAGAAACATCGAGGCTCACTGATGGCTGCGGGAGCCCACTCTCATCTGAGTTGTGACAGGTAAAGAAGTGGCTATTTCACTGCCTGGGATGGTGCTCTGACAGTTCCGAGGTCGAGCCTAGATGCTTCCAGCAGTGATGGAGGTGTCCTAACCTCAGCTGGGGGCTGGGGGCTGGGGGCTGGGGGAGATTCCCACAGCCAGTGAATCACTTTTGGCCTTATGCTACCCTGGCCCTCCAAGCTAGCAGCTCTACCACAGTTCCACCTGGTGTTCTTGTTTGAAAAAACAAAACAAAACAAAAGATAGAAAAGATACCCATAGTGCTGCTCTATCTCACAACACATCATGATGCAAACTGCTCCAAGGAGTCGAATGGAAAAACGGGGAAACGGACTATTCACAAGGTAGGTACTGTCCTCTGTACAAATGCTACCAAATATAGCGTAGCTTATGGGTGTGTGTCAAAAAGCCCTCTAAAATGCCACAATTCAGAAAGCTTATCAAAATGTGCCTTCTTTCTTGGTAAAACAGGCTTGGTTGGTTCAGTTGCTATAGAAGTCCACAGTTTTAAGACCCAGACACAGAACAAATGTGACTTTTCTTTTGAAGGAAAAAGTCATTCGCGCTGCTCTTGGCCAGGGTCTCAGAGCAGTACAGGTGGTGAATTTTTTGCTATAATTCCACCAAGGTTCCTGGAAGGGCTTTCCCTGGGCCTTGGGTGGCATTCCTTTGGAAGGAGAAGCTCTTTCCATCACCTGTGGTAGAAGGTGAGGCCGGAGTGGCTGGTGTGTACCTGCTGCCTGGCTCAGTCGATGAATCTCTGGCAGGCCTTCTTCCAGCGGCAGGCTGTGCACCACATGTCCCGGTTCTCCATCCCATATACCTTCCGGCACTTCTTGCCTTCTCCCCTGGGCTTCCTGTAAGACAGACAGAGCAGATGTGTTCAGAGGCAGGAACTGAGTGGTCCTTCTGGCTAAGAGTCAAGAAGAGCAAGGAGAAACAGGGGATGGGGCCCTTTGTGGGGCCAGACTTCCTTAGGCGCTGCCTGTTTACCTGGCCACTGCATTTAGTTACTGTTTGCTGGTAAAAACTCTTGTGTTTCTAATTTTCCACTCACGGAAAAGTTCATTTGGCCATTTTTATAAGACTAAAGAAGTAAGCATAAGAGAAAAGGGCTGAGAAGATGGCTCTGTGGCTAAAACATTTGCTGCTCAAGCATCAGGACCCAAGTTTGGATCCCCAGAGCCTATGTAAGCTGGACATGGTAGATTGCATCTGTGACTCCAGCATTTTTGCATCGAGATGGGAGGTGCAGACAGAAGTCCTGGAAGCTCGTGGCCAGCTAACCTGCTGTACACAGTGGGAAACAAGAGATCATCTCAAACCAGGTGGAAGGTGAGGACCAATACCTGAGTTGTCCTCTGACTTCCATGTGTGCATGACTGCATGCGCCCACATTGCACCCACATATGCACAAAAGTACACATACATCATATAAGGATACCCCCCCCATTAAAAAGAGAACAAAACCAGCAAGAGTGAGCCATGGAGAACAACACTGCTCTTGAAAATTTTCAGTGTTCCTTGCTTCTTCAGTATTTAGAATTCTGGTTGGGAGCTTCCTGGGAGATCCTCTTAGATCCAGATTAAAACCTTCTCTTGTTGCTCACATCATGCAGAGAGGTTAATGCAAATAGCTCTCAACATTTCCAATGACCATTGTTACCTGGCCTGTAAACTATTACCTTTCCCCACTAACAAATGCCCTTTACTAGGAAAAGCCACGGGATCAACAGAAACCATGTTTCATGGGCTGGGGAGAAGTTTTGTAGAAGATCCCATCTTTGGTTCCTCTTTGCTATTTTTCTATTTTCCAAGAAATTCCCTTGAGGTGAAGTGTGAAGCTTTGAGCAGTCATACCTTAGGCTGACTGTGCCTCTGGGTGGTGAGGACAGGACCGTGTGGGCGTGCTGTCTCTGTTCTCCTGGGCCCACTGGATGATGATGTGTTGGAGATACCTGGTAACCACAAGGAAAATCAGGTTGAGAGAGCACATTCTCCACCCCATGCAATTTTTTTTTTGGCCTTTGCCACAAAGGCAGTGGTCCTTGACCATTAGACATGGAGAAGAAATGCTTTGCTCTCAAATGTGTGAGTTAAAATGAATGTTAGGGTTAAAGGCCAGGAACACTAGGACTGAGAAATAAAAGGACTGAAGCTGGCTATGAGATACCCACCTGACCAGCTAAGAGGAAGGCCAGGGTTGATCAATGTGTCACTACCATTGAATCTGCCTCAATACTGAATAGCAGGGGGCTGGGATTGCTCCTGCTGATGGGGGGTGGGGCAGCAGACTTTCCCTGCTTAGGTCCTATAGAGCCTTATAAATATCTATTACATTCCTTTAAAACCACCCTACAGAGCTCATTAGGCTGCTCCCTCCCTTGGGACAGCTTACTTCAATGTTTTTTTGAAGTGCTTTGCTTACCTTTATAACTAAATTGTTTCTTTGCTAAATAATCTTTTGCTTAAACTGTCTCTTGACTGAATTCATCCTTCATATATCAAAATATAGAAAAGTATGACATATCATATACATGTACTGAATTACCACAACAAATTCTATAAAGCTGTACAAATAATATGCCTCAATAAATACTTCTAATTTCTGAAAATAAAAGTAAGACCCATAATGTGGGTCCTTAAAGCCCTATGAAACATTATTTTGGCTCTTTCCCAGTGATCTCCACATTAAATAATTATTATTATTGTGTGTATGATGCATATATTATGGGGTGTGTGTGTGTGTGTATGCGTGAGTGTGTGTCATGCTATGTATGTGAAGGTCAGAAGAAAACTGTGGGGTTGGTTCTCCCCTTCCACATGCATTTGAGTCCTGGGACTCAAAGTCAGGTCATGAAGCTTGTGCAGCAAACACTTCTTCACCAATGGAGCCATCTTGCCAGCCTTGGACTCCATATGTTAATCTCTGTTTTGTTTCTCAAGTTCTTCTAAATTCTACGTTGAGGCATATTTTACGAAGTCTATAATATACTTGGACAGTATTATACTTTTATATTTTATTTGTAAAAAATAAATTTTTTTATTATGTGATCATGTCTACTAATTAGGTATAACGTCTGAGGAGTTTAAAAGTACTCTAAACTAGGAGGGTGGAGAGGTGGTGAAGAGCACTGGCCGCTCTTACAGAGCACCCACATGGTGGTTACAACCGTCTGTAACTCCAGAAGGGAATCCAACACCCTCTTCTGACTCTGCAGGCATTGTATGATACCAGTGCACTTAAACACATGCAGATAATACACTCATACACATAAACCAAAACTAGTAAAAATAAAAGTGCTCTAAATTAGGGCTGGACATGATGGTATATACCTTTATTCCCAGCACCTGAAAGGTAGAGGCAGGCAGAGCTCTGTGAATTCAAGGCCAGCGTGGTCGATGTAGAGAGCTCCAGGCCAGTCAGGCCTACATAATGAGACCCTGCCTCCAAAAAACAAAGCAAAAACAAAAAGAACTCTATAGTATGGTTTCAGAAATCATGGCTAATCTCAACCAGGTACTGAGCATCCTTATGCCGTATGAAGCAATCCTAAACAGCAAGGTTCTACTTTGTTATTTCACAGTAATGACAGCAGTAATTGTAAGTATCCCATAATGATAGCTGCATGTCAGGTACTGTGCTGAATGACACAGCACTTCAAGGTAGTTTCAGAACGAAGGTGATTGCTTTAGAAAGGACATGTGACTGGCTAGAAGTTCATGGATGCCAAAGCCAGGGATCTGACTGAGCCTCACTTGAAAGCAACAACACAGATATGATGCCCTTTGGTAAATTTATTAGAGAAATTTGTGATTTTTCTCTTTCTCAAATGGAAATAGAAGACTTTGGGATGGAATAATCTCTTACAAAATACCATCTTGAGGAAAGATTTATTTTGGGACTGGAAAGATGGTTCAGTGGTTAAGATCACTGGCTGTTCTTGCAGAGGACCCAGGTTTGATCCCAGCACCCACATAGAGGCTAACAACCATTCATAACTTCAGTTCCAGGGAAATCTGATGGTCTCTTCTGCCCTCTGCAGGCATTGTGTGCACATGGTACACTTACATTCATGCAGGCAAAACACTCATACATACACATAAAATAAAAATAAAGAAACAGACTACTATCCTCAGGCCTCTTGGGGTAAGTCTATAGCGCAGCGCTCCCGTCCCATGTTTGATCCCAGCACCCACATAGAGGCTAACAACCATTCATAACTTCAGTTCCAGGGAAATCTGATGGTCTCTTCTGCCCTCTGCAGGCATTGTGTGCACATGGTACACTTACATTCATGCAGGCAAAACACTCATACATACACATAAAATAAAAATAAAGAAACAGACTACTATCCTCAGGCCTCTTGGGGTAAGTCTATAGCGCAGCGCTCCGCGCCGGGACTCCCTAAGCCTCATTCCCCCTTCCACCCCACCCCCCAACCCCCTGCCTCCCCGCCCGCCG